CTGCTTCATGGCTTTTGTGAAAGGCATATTTTAATCCAGTGTACCTTTAAGAGCGGCAGACGTGTGGGTTGGGGGTTAGATATTCACTCAAGACATCCCCAGAAGATATAACTGCTATAGACAGGCGCAGCGGTGTGTGGTGGCTGTTCTTAATTGTCAACTTGATTACATCTGGAATGATGAAACCCAGAAGTGGAGGGCACTCTTGTGGTCCAGATTCTGAGGCTGGAGGACACACACACATTTAATCCAGACCTTGAGGCGGGAAGGCACACCTTTAACACGGGCCACACCTCTTTCTGGAAGGCCAATGGAAGAAGGAAGGGGCTGCTCATCCTTTCCCTGTTCGTCCTCTCCCTGCCGATACCTCTATTCCTTTGTTGGCACTGGATCCTGTTTCCTCTGAACTCCAGCATATTCAGAGGACCAGCTGAGACACCCAGCCTCATGGGGCTCCTGGACTTTCCATTTCACAGCTGGCCATTGTTGGGTTAGCTGGACGGCAGCCTGTAAGTCATTCCAGTAAGTTCCCTTATATATGCAGATGTCTGTGGTCTGTGCTGTCATCAGAAGCCATGTGGAAGTCCGCAATCCACGCAGTTGCTTACTTTAAAGGTCGAGGAAACCTCTTCTGTAGTGGTTTCCATGACTGACAGTTGAGAATGAGAGACAGGGAAGACTGTTGTGACAACCTCTCCTCTCATCCACACACCCATGCCCCCAACAAAGAAAACAGTTTGGGCAGGAAGCCACTGAAGAGAATTCCTAAAAGTTGTTACAGGGATGCTGAAGTGTATCGTTTCACAGTTGATGGCTTCTGGCGGGGGTTGGCTGGGGTTGGGGAAGGATTTAGGATTCTTTAAGGTGCTGGCCACTGGGAGTTTGACCATGCCCCTTTCTTTTCTTTCTTCTGGGAAGAGGTTTTAAGGGTTGGGAAGGGTGAACCTAGGAGGACTAGGAAATTAATGTGATCAGGGTGTTGGAAAATAAAAATAAATGTTTAAAAAGAAAAGCAAAAGAAATGCAACTGTCTTAGGGTTTCTATTGCTGTGAAGAGACACCATAACCACAGCAACTCTTATAAAGGAAAACATTCAATTGGGGCTGGCTCACAGTTTCGGAGGTTTAGTCCCTTATCATCATGACGGGAAGCGTGGTGGCGTGCAGGCAGACATGGTGCTGGAGAAGGAGCTGAGAGTTATACATCTTGTTTCACAGACAGCAGAAGGAGACTTTGCACCACAGTGGGCACACCTTGAGCATACATGAGACCTCAGTGTCCCATGCACACACACACACACACACACACACACACACACACACAGTGACACACTTCCTTCGACAAAGCTACACCTCCTATACTGCCACTCCCTGTGAGCCAAACATTCACTCACCTGAGTCCATGAGGGCCATTCCTACCCAAACCACCACAGCAGCAAAAACTACAGTGAAACATCATCTCATATCAACCCCAACAATTATAACAACAACAACAACAAAGATAGAACAGCCTCAGTGAGCAGTAAAGGGATCAGAACCCTTTAACATGGCTAGGAGGAATGTGAAGTGCTAAAATCGCTTGGCATTTCTTCAGAACTAAGTAAAATGACTCCATGCCTCTCAAAAGCAGAGAACGGTAACGTGGACAGATGCTTCTGTGCCTATTGCGGATCACTTCTGACAGGCCTGAGTGGAAGCACTCCATAGCACAGAGAGGACTTCAAAGGGCCGGCATGCGAGCATAGGCTCTGCAAGAGGGAGTCGGAGGTTGAGTTCTGTGGGCCATGTACTAAGAAGGCATCCACGGGCAAGTCGTGATGCCTTAGACAAGCCCGCAGTCCTCCTGGCTTTCTTGTCCGAGAGGCTGTGCAGTGGAGTTGTAAGAGTCCTGGATCTGAGCTGCTTGAATGGGCCCAACTTCTGTTTGACCCTGTCTGTTAGGCTTTGGGTGAATGCTCAGGTCTCTTGCTCTCAACAGCTGAGTGCAAACAACGCTGCTTCTCCTGCTGGGTTTTTCTTGTAGTTGGCTGAGTTGTTTTGAGTAACGTCCTTCACATGGTAAGCGCTCAGAAAGCAGTTTTTATGAAAAGAAGGGTGTGGCAAGGGGGATCACTTCGGAGGATAGAAGCAACAAATGGGCTTCTTTATAAATTAAGGTGAAATGCATTAAATATATTAAAACAAAAATTTCATGCTATCTTAGCTGTGACAAACCACTATGACCCAAAACAATTTGGGGAGGAAAGTTTATCTTAGTTGACAGACACTTGCAGGTAGCAGTCCCTCCCTGAGGGAAGAAAGTCAGGACAGGAACTCAAAGGGAGATCATGGAGGAATGCTGTTTATTGGCTTACTCCTCTGGCTTGCCCATCCTGCTTCTTTATATGATCCATGACTACCTGCCCCTCTGGGCACCACCTTCAGTGAACTGGATCCTCCCACATCAATCACCAATCAAGAAAATGCCCTAACGACTTGCCTAACTAGCCAATCTGATGGAGATATTTTCTAGGTTAAAATTCTGTCTTCCCAAGGCACACCCACACTTGAAGACCTGCCAAAGAGCCAGATGTGCACACCTGTACATGGAAACACCCCAGCAATGCTTGTGGAGGACTTTTCTGGGAGCCTTGCCTCCCAGCAGCCTGTGGGGGTCTGTAGAGGATGGGAAGCATGAAAGTCGATTGCCAACTAGAACAGCGGGTGTCAACACAACTATTGGAAAACACCCATTTCCAATAGTCTTAGGGACCCCCAAACATACATTTATTTTTTTTTTTTTGCTACTGAGCAGTGTCTCAGTTCCTACCCACGGGTCAAGAAATGCTGAACTAGAGGCGTCCTCAGAGCAGTGGGCCTTGACTATGAATTAATTTTAATTATGCATTAGAGGAAAATGGATCAGGAAACCTCTCTGTCTCCCCAGTAACACCAGAATACATTCATTCTCAAAATGCTCCCCAGAGAAAGCCTGTCATCTCCCGTTACTGCCTAAGAGAATCAAAGGGACATGCTGCCTGCAGACCAGCTGCTGACGTGGGCTTGTCTGGAGGTACACAATGTGTCCCGCTCTGTGATGTCTCCATTCGCCATGTAGCCCCTGTTCTCCACCGTCAAGCTTGTTCTTTTTGAAGCCTACACAAAAGGGAACATTCCTGCTTCAATCCAGAAATGCAAAGGTCATGTCATTGAATTCACCGGTCACACACAGGCAAGTGTCACGTCATCTGATTTGCCCTGGAAACAAAAAGAGGTACCTTGTTGACGCTTCGTTGGACAAGAGCTTCACTGCGAGCAACTTTCTCCCCAGCACATGCACACACCAGTGTTTTCTCTCACCGTTATCAGGGAAAGACGCAGCAATGCTGTGGATGTGACAGTTTATAGACTGAACAGGGGCGGCCACACACACTGGGTTCTAGAAAGCTCTCTTACCTTAAATGCATTGATTTTATTAGGCTCTGGATACACGAATTAGTACAAAGCAGTGTAGTGACAGTCCTGACAGTTGCCAGATAATCTTCAGCTGCGGAGGGTGTCCCGTGTCTTGTGGGACATTTAACGACATCCTTGACCTCCACCCACTAGGATAGTTTATCCATCTCCTGCTATCATGGTAATTAAAAAAGAAAAGTCTCCAAAAACCCTTTGAGAGACAAACCACATATCTCCAGCTGAGTGTAACATTTATGAAATCACATATTAACAGGGTGACAACCAGGCTAGAAAAATACTCCCAGAGAGGGCAGCGATTGCACTGAACCATTTATTGAGCACATGGAACACATAAAGCGGATGTTGATGAGGAGCATTTAAAAGCAAGAACTCTGGGGCCTGAAGTGTGCGTTAAATACTCTCCACTCAATAATAATAACCATCATCAACTACGTGAAGGGTTCTCGGTTGAAGCTGGGGTGCAGCAAAGAGTAGAGGTCGTGGGGAGGCAGAGTTCCCGATACAGTGGAAGCTTTTAGTTATTCTTTAAAAGACGGAAACTCAGAAGGGTCATGGGGAGAGGGAGGAGGGGCTGAGCAAGAAAGGATCGAGGGCAAGAAAGTGGGTGGGATCTGTCAAAATCTCTGTAATGAGGAGCTGGGAGGCAGGCTGGGGAGACAGGTCGCTGAGGCAAGGGTTGAATGCTTGCCTAGCAGGCGTGAGCCCAGGATACCACCCCCATTGCCACGAAACAACCCCGAAGCTAGCAAACAGAGACAAAACAAACCACTGAAATATCCGGGACAGAGAGGTAAGGGAACTCTGGAAAGACAGGCAGGCTGGACCTCATAAATTCCAAACTCAGTGAGAGACCCTGCTGTAATAAAAAGAAATGGAAAGCAATAAAGGAAGACACCTATGTCAACTTTGTCCCCCCACCATTTTGAACACGCACACACATACATTCATAATACTACTTACACATACACAAATAAAAATTATATAAAAGTGAAGTAAGAATAATCAAAAGGAGAATTTAACTTTACATGATATCTAGCCATGTTTAGATTCCTTTAGGAGACTCAAAGATTAAATGTCAAAAAGTCTATTGTTTTTAATCGTTTCATATTTGGATACTAAAACTCTGGCTCAGGCTGAATTGCTCTGAGGCTTGTGGAGTGTGTTTATCTTGAGAAGATGCAAGACTCTTCAGTTCATGATCATAGACCCCCCCCCTTATCAGCCAAGCTCTAATATTTTTCTACCCCCACTTTGTCATAAAAATGAGATTGAAATGTCCTCTTCAGGATCATTGCTTTGGAGGGCTATGCTGGCTAGTTTTGTGCCAATTTGACACAGGTTATAGTCATCTGAGTGGAGAGAGCCTCAATTAAACAAAATTCCATCATAAGATGAGGCTACAGGCAAACCTGTAGGGCATTTTGTTAATTAGTGATAGATGAGGGAGGATCCAGCCCATCGTGGGTGGTACCATCCCTGGGCTGGCGGTCCTGGGTTCTATAAGAAAGCAGGCAGAGCAAGCCATGAGGAGCAAGGCAGCAAGC